ACAATTCCTGTTTCAAATGACTTTCATGAGTCAAAACTTGGATGAGTGAAAAGTCAGAAAATTTCTTAGATGAGTGAAATTTGTCAAATAGTTAAATAATTGTAAGGAATTGATTTTCGAGGGAAACAATTTTTTGTCTGAAGTTAGAACTTAAATGATGGAGGGTTTAAGTGCCATTCCTGCAAAAAATCTTACGTGAACCTCAAATCACTTATCATTCATCTAAAGACCAAACATGGATCCAGAGTCAACAAAAGACACTGTTAGCTAAAGATCTGGAAAAAGATGATCTCTTTGATTACATTTTCTTTGTGTTTCGTTTATCTCCATTACATAAGAATTAGGATTCTGTGATATAGTAAGAGACTCTGCTGTACAACAAGACAGATAAAACTAAATATTACATCGGCAGCATCCATAATACAAGTCTTACTTAAGGTACCCTTTCCGACAACCAAACAGAAAGACTAGTAAATAACATATTTATTAACGTATCCAAAAGTAAGAACAGAAACATCGCATTGGTCAAGGTCATGCTTGTTGAGTGAGGAGGTGTGTTTCAGAGCTCTCCTGGTTTTTGTGGAATTAAGATATTTTCAGTGATATTTATGATGTGAAAATTGTCACAGATGTTTCTGACTTGCTTTGTTAGACAAAAGGATAAAATAATTGCCGAAAAATAGTGAAATGAGTGTTTTGCTTTACCTTTTTTCAAAATTGAAAAACCTACCTGTGTTCACCTGTACACCTGTTTTACTGGAGCAATAAAATGGCCACAAAGGAAATAAAGGACGCAAAAGCTGGAAGATCAAACACCAAACAGATAATGGACAAAAGCAGATCTTCATTGTCACTGTCATCAGTCCCAGCTGAGGTCAAAGGCCAGATAGTGTCCACAAAGCCAGTCACAAAACAGAGAAGAATTTCATCAGCAGGAGAGGATGATCATTCAGAAATGGAGAACATCAAGTGTACTCTTACCTCTATACAAGAAACCCTTAAAAAACAAGTGACCAAGGCTGACATAAAAGATCTTATCAAAAGTGCTATTGTGGAGCTAATGGAGGAGCTAAAGAATGAGATGAAGGAAGAGCTGAAGGAGGAGATCAAAGAGGAAATCAAGGAGGAGATGCTGAAGGAACTTAAAACAGAGATGAGTCAGGATCTGGAAGAAAATAGGAATCGCCATGGCAGGAACTCTCTAAGATGAGAAAACAGCTCTCTGACAAGGTTGACAGCTTAATGATGGATAATGACACTAACATGGATAATGTTTCTCAATTGAAAAATAGGATCACTACCCTGGAAAAACAGTTGAAAAAAAATAAATGGAATAGCCAGTACAGCCATCAGAATGGCAAATATGAACCAACAATACTCCATGAAAAATAACATCAAATTTTGAATTGGCCAGAACAAAAGGGACAGAAGTTAAGGGAGGAGTTATGTGCGCTGGTGGCAGAAAAGGGAGGAGTCACTTTGGATCCAAGAGACATTCTGGCAATCCACAGAATTCCTACGAATGACAAGAATCACACAAGACCTGTCACCGTAAAATTCATAAGTAGTGAGGTGAGGAGATCAGTGATTGTAAAGAGAGAACAGCTAAAAGAGGACTTTATAATGCTGGATCACATAACCGACTTGAACGCGCAGCTGCTGCGAAAATTGAGGGCAGAAGAGAGACAGCATTTGGTGGATAGTGCGTGGTATTATAATGGACTTATATATGTGTTGGACTTACAGGGGAATCAACACAGGATGGATGTGACAGATGATAGTGACAAAAAACTTCTTGAAAGATAAATATGTTATTTGAATGGTCCACAAACAGGAGGAGCTCGGAGGACAAAGGCGAAGTATGCATAAAACATGTAAAAAGTAATTATCTATTTGTAGTTTTCTATGTTTGAGTGTGTGTGTATGTCTATGTGTCCTCTTTCCATTAATAGATGTAATTAATCAGAATAATGCTGTTGACAGTTTATCTCAGTTCTCAATGTCTTTCAAATATATCATTTTTTTCTTGATTTAGAATGCAGGGACTTACTGGTTACACATGTCAAAGGTTGTTAGCATAAATATTTGAAGTATGAATGTTAGAGGATTTTCATCAAATTGTCAAAAACGTAGGGATCTATTTAACTGGGTAAGAAATAAGAATGTTTAATAAGAATGAAAACTTTTTATGACATGTGATATGACAACTAAAATGACCAACAAAGTAGAAATGTTAGGTATATTGAGTATGAATTGAGGTTTCTCTTCTAACACCCCAAAATTAAACGTCGGGATGTGTTTAATTGGGATAGACAAAAAAATATCTCTATTCTTTGTTTTCAAGAAACACATAGTACTCATGAAACTTCAAGGTTATGGAAATCAGAGTCGGGCTACAAATCCTATTTTGGTAGTTATACAACCAGCACACCTGGTGTCGCAATACTTTTCAAAAATAACTTTGAATTAGATATCCATTCATTTAAATGTGACTATGCAGGTAGATATTTCATAATGGATATTTCAACAAATATTTAAGATTTACTTTGGTAAATTTGTATGGTCCAAATAATGATAATCCAGAATTTTTTCAAAATATTTATGAAGAAATTACAAAATTAGAAAAATATCAATCCTCATGTGTGGGGATTGGAATGTGGTCCAAAGTAAAGAACTTGACACTTTCACTGTCAAAAATCTTAATAATCCAAAGGCAAATGAAGGAATAAAGAATATAAATAGCGAACTTGAAATTTATGATACATGGAGAATCTGGAATGAAGAAGTTAGACAATACAAAAGGAGAAGATCAAATTCACTTATTCAAAGTAGATTTGACTATTTTCTTGTTTCTGATTGTATTTTTAGTAGAGTATTAGATACCAAAATAATTCCAGGGTATAGAACAGATCATTTAGCAATTGTATTAAAATTTAAAACAAATGAAAGTAATAGAGGAAGAGGTTATTGGAAATTTAATTGTCAATTATTACATGAAAAGGAGTCTATAGAAAAAGTAAAGCAATGTATTTCAGAAACAATTAAAGAATATATGATATCAGGAGATATTGAACAAAGGGAGAGTATTCAATTTAGTATAAGTAATCAATTTTTCTCGGAAGATGAACGATATTGTATCCCAATGAATGGCATGCCTCAGAGAAGAGTGTGTTAAAATTTCAAGCACCTGCCATGAGTAGTTGCTGAGAAAACTGCGAGTTATGTATGAAACGGACAGACACAAAGGAAGTTAACATCGGATTTGAACAAAAATGTATCCGACCATATGGCATGCCTTAGAAAAGATTGTGTCAAAATTTCAAGCATCTAGGATGAGTAGTTGCTGAAAAAACTGCGACGAAAATTTGTTATGTATGAAACGGACATACACACAGACAAACAGGAAGTTGACATCGCATTTGAACGATAATGTATCCCACCATATGGCATGCTTCAGAGAAGATTGTGTTAAAATTTCAAGCATCTACGATGAGGAGTTGCTGAGAAAACTGCGACGAAAATTTGTTATGTGAAGGATATGGAAATAACGAACAGTATTCAATCTCAACGTCCATTAAACAAATATACAAAATAAGAGCAGAGCAAACACGGACCTCCGAAACATCAGAGGTGGGTATTAGCAGATAAACCACGCAATCAAACTGTATTTCAAGTTTATTGAAGAACGTGGTGAAAGGCTGAAACATACAAAAATGAATTTGTACTTAAAATGTAATCAAATAACTGACAATCATACATGCAACAATCACACTGATTAGATTACCAATAAATTGCCATTAATCTGATTTACATACATTATGAAATTTACAGGAAAAGATTTAGACTAAAGTTCAGTCAAATTCATAGTAATAATATTTCATTATATCTCGCAATATCTCACAATATCTCATTGAGCAAACTTTGCAAATATATCAATGCAAAATCGTACACTACAAATTTGGCGGTATCTGCTATTTTTAGAAACGGCTAGAAAATACACAGATTCAACGTATGAGACCTATGCCGACATTTAAGCAAAATCAATACTATAATCATATCAAACATTTGCAAAAATATAAACTTACAATGTGCTCTTGGCTGGATGGACAGATACAAAATATTTAAGTTGTAGATGCAAACATGCGCTGCATCAAGCGCCAGCATGGAGAACTTAAATCTAATACACAAAACAAAACCGCAAACCCGGAAATATCCGGTAGACTACAAAACAAGTCATACCTAAACTGATTCGCGGACACTTCACTCCCCGTCTTATATCAAAGATATAACTACTCACTAAATAAATTGGACAAAAATCTCAAACTATTAACCACATTACTGAACTACATAACTGAGACAAAGCTATTCACAGAGTTACTGCTCAAGTAGGAGAACCATCTCGGTTATTGGTCGGGTGTACACCTTCCTGTCCTTGGCGACACGAACCACAGCTTTCCGGACCATCGCATCATTGCTCTCAATCGGGCGCTCAATTATCCCCATGGGCTACAGATTCCTATGAACATTCTTCTCATGCAAGAGTACAACATCTCCGGTCTTGAGATTCTATTTACTCGAGTGCCACTTCTGTCTCTTCTGTAAACTGTCCAAGTATGTAACTTGCCACTTTTTCCAAAACATATCAGACAGCACCTGAACATGTTTCCAGCTGGCTCTGTACATGTCCTTGATACCCAAATGTTCCGAGAACGATCCAACTTCTCCCTGCTTCTGGGTCAATAGTACGTTTGGACTCAGCACCATGGGCGATGACGGGTCTGTATCAAGTGCTATCGGGCGAGAGTTAAGTATGGCGCACACCTCCGCCATGAATGTGACTAGCACTTCATGCGTCAATTCCTTGCCTCCGTCTTGAAGCAGCATAGAGTCTAAAATCCTGCGAGCACTACCTACAACTCTTTCCCATACACCTCCCATATGTGACGCATGGGGGGCGTTAAACAACCAGGTTGCTCTGTTCTCCTTCAGGTAAGTCTTCATCACAGTGTCTTCAACTTGATGGCATTCACATGAAGGTCGTCTACAGCTCCAATAAAATTTGTTCCCCTGTCCGAGCGAAAAAGCTTTACTGGTCCACGCAAGGCTATAAAGCGTCTTAGGGCGTTGATAAAACACGAGCTGGACATGTCCTCAATTACTTCAATGTGGACTGCTCGGGAAGTTAAGCAAGTGAACAAGACGGCCCATCTTTTACTCTGCGCTGACCCACCACGCGTCTTTCTGGTAACTACTGGCCACGGGCCAAATACGTCCAGCCCAACAGAGGAAAATGGGGGTCCTGGGGTGAGACGATCTACAGGGAGATCTGCCATCTTCTGTTCCTGGGGCATCCTTCGGAGCTTCCGGCACACAACACAAAAATAAATGATGGGGGAAATAAGTCTCCTTGCTCCCAGGATCCAATAGCCGTGAGAACGTACAGCACCTTCAGTGATCATTCTGCCCTGGTGAAAAACCTTGTTATGGAGGAAACGTACCAGTAGTACTGCTACATGTCCATTCGGGGCTATAACAGGGTTGATGGAAGAAAGTCCTGAACTCTTCAGTTTGTTCAAACGACCTCCAGCTCTGAGCAGACCATTATCATCAATGAAGGGAGATAAATTCTGAATTTGGCTGTCCCTAGGTAGGTTGAGTTTATTTTCAATTGCTTCAATTTCAGCATCAAAGGCCTGAGCTTGTACACATCTAATTATGAAATGTTCAGTGTCTTTGAGTGTTGATTCACAAGTAGTGCTCTGGCACATGTGCCAACCAGTACAGTCATTGGAACCTCGGTAGGAGGCAGCTACATGACGAAGTGTGGAAAATGCAGCCACAAGACTGTCCCAAGTAGAGAATTTACTGAATCGATCCTCGATCGGGGGCAGGTTGGTCAATACATGTACATCAGCGTTAAAGGTGCTCAATTCAGAACGAATTTCCTTATCGTCGTCAGGGCTGATGAGTGGGTAATCTACCTCAGATTCACATTCTGCTAGGTTCCTTGAACAAAACTGCACTGGTCCAACAAGCCATGTGTCTAACATATTACTAATGTCCGCAACTGATCCCCTAGTTGCTGCATCAGCCGGGTTCTGGTGAGTGGGTACGTAGCTCCACTGGCTAGGGGATGACACAGCATGAATCCTAGCAATCCTATTACTTACATAGTTGTAAAATCGTCTTGTCCTGTTTTTTATGTATCCCAATATAACCTTACTGTCTGTAAAATACTGGATCGATGACGCTGGGATAGAGAGATGATCTGACACAAATTCTCCTATTTCTGCCGCCAGTACAGCACCACACAGCTTCAGTCTAGGAATACTATGCCCTGCTAGAGGTGCAAGTTTAGACTTTCCCATGACAAATCCAACATCCTGCTTCACCTTCAGGTAAGCTGCAGCCGCAATCGCTGTTTCAGATGCGTCGGAAAATATCAGCAGTTGTGGATCTGATGCTAAGCTCAGCGACTGTGGAACGAACATCCGGGGAATCTGTAGACTGCTCAACCGATCAAGTGACTTGCTCAGACTCTCCCAACTATCTCGGCACTCTTCTGGTAAAGGATCATCCCAGCTCGGACTCCCAGTACACATCTCACGTAGAATCATCTTCCCACATATCGTCACTGGAGACAGGAAGCCAATGGGGTCAAAGATACTGTTGACCCTTGAAAGGATTCCACGGCGAGTGAAGGGAACATCAGCATCTGGCTTCTGGAAGACGAAACAGTCAGATCTCAGATTCCAAGCCAATCAAAGGCTGTGCTGAACCAAATCATTGTCACCACCAATTGACAAGTCCTTCACGTCCTTACCCAGGTCCTCTGGAGGGAACGCATCAACCACCTCTTGTACATTTGACACAATCTTATGTAATCTTATATTCCCCTCTTCATCAAGTACTCTCTGAGTTCGTTTCATAAGGTCTGTGACTTGCGCAGGTGTAGGTCGAGACATCAATACGTCATCAACATAAAAGTCCTGGTGTACAAAGTTGACTACATCGAGATCCGCGTCTCGTACTGCCCGTCTTAGCCCATATGTTGCCACTGCGGGGGAAGGCCGATTCCCGAACACATGGACGGTCATACGGTACTCTACCATCTGACTATGTGGATCGTTGTTCTCATACCAATAGAACCGTAAGTAGTCTCTATCTCTTTGGTTTACAAAGAAACGGTAAAACATCTGCTGGATGTCTCCTGCTATCGCACACAAATCATTGCGAAATCGTAACAAGATTCCTAGTAAGTTGTTCGTCAGGTTTGGAATAGACAATAGACTGTCATTTAATGAGCATCCTTGGTACACGATTGATGAATCGAATACAGCTCGAACTTTGCCAGGCTTCTTAGGGTGAGTTACAGCAAATATCGGGATGTACCAACACTCATGTCTATCTTCTATCTGTGGGGCTCTTTCTGCTGCTCCTGTGTTGAAAATGTTTTCCATAACTTCACACATCTGCTTGAGTTTCTCTTCAAACCTTGGTCAAGGTTGACAGCTCGTTTGAAGACTTGAGCTCTGTTGTTCGTAAGCTTAGGACGAATGTCCTTGAACAGAAGTGGAGAGGTCCAATTACCACTACAGTCCTTCTGAAAGGTTTGGTCCATCAAAGACAGGATTTTTACGATCTTCCACTGAATTTCCAATCTTGTTATCATGTCTGTCTGTGTAAAACACATTGTCTCCCTTGAAATCTAGAGTCTGTGAGGAACTGTAGTTAGAAGGGCCTTGAGATGAAAGCTGTTTTCACATGGGGTGAATATCGTTCCTCTACCATCGTGCTGAATATTGGTCTTTTTTGGAGACCAGGTATTCCAACAATCTATTGGAATTCCCACGGGTACAAATTGCGCTCCGTTATTAGCAGACTTATTTTTATATTCATATGAAGCAGAATTTATGCAAAATCTTTTACGTGAAAAGAAGAAAACACTTGCTGTGGCCTTCAACTCGACATTTAGATATATCGACGACGTATTTTCCATTAATAATGATAATTTCCATTCCTACGTCGACACGATATATCCTGGTGAGCTTGAAATAAAAAAAAGATACCACAGAGTCCGACACTTCTGCTTCATACTTGGATATTTTACTTGAAAAAGACACTAATGGTAATCTAACAACCAAGCTATATGATAAACGTGATGACTTTAACTTTTCTATCGTCAACTTCCCTTACTTATGCAGCAATATACCTTCATCACCTGCATACGGAGTATTTATATCTCAGTTGATTCGATACGCAAGAGCATGCTCTACGTATGAACAATTTCTTAAACGAGGTAAATTATTGACAAGCAAGTTGATGAAACAAGAATATCAACAGTCTCGTTTAAAGTCATCATTTCGTAAATTCTATGGTCGATACAATGACCTTGTCAGCAAATACAATTTATCATTGAATGAAATGCTGACTGACGTTTTTCATACCAATTGTTAGTCCATTATTTTTACACTGAATTGACCACGGATTTTTCCGTTATATCCTGATTATGACAACGAGCACACGGCGGGTGTGACCGGTCAGCAGGGGATGCTCACTCCTCCATGGCACCTGATCCCACCTCTGATGTTTCGGGGGTCCGTGTTTGCTCTGCTCTTATTTTGTATATTTGTTTAATGGACGTTGAGATTGAATACTGTTCGTTATTTCCATATCCTTCTTCAGAACACTGAGATCCCTTGGCTTATGATGACCATCCAAACACACGTCACCAATTATCACCCATCCAAGGCTCAGCTTCTGGGCAAAGGGAGCTGAGGGGGGTCCTGTCACCTGACATGGCACCTGATGTACGTCCAAGTCCCTTCCAATCAGCTGTATACCGATATCTGTACGGAGCGGGGCGAGTTCCTTGGCAATGTGTTGTAAGTGAGGGTGGGCACGAGCGACTTCTGGAGTCGGGATTTCCATCATGTTATCTGGAATGTCGTTGCACTCTATGATGGGCGGAAGCTTGCGACAGGCGAGTCCATTAATCGACTGAATACAAAACCCCACCGCTCTTCTTCAAGAAGTCTCGGTCACTCCAGCACATGATTTAAGTCTGTACGGAATCGGATCTGACTTTACGCCCAGTTTATTCAAAAGTTCAGATCGAGCTAGGGTATGGTTGCTCTGATCATCGAGTAACGAATACACAGTCACAGCATCTTGTGGACGGTCACATGGAAACACCTTCGCTAGAACAATCTTGGCACATGAACGTCTACCGCTGGCCAAACCACACAGTGTAGTGCACTTCGAGGAAATCTCCGTTCCCTCCCCGCCATGATCTGAGGTGAGTGCTCTTTCCTTACTTTCTCCTTCACACGAGTCCTTCCTATACCAGTGCATGGCTGTAGGATGAAGTGTGCTCCTGCACACAGAACATGGAGAACTATTGGTGCATGATGACTGCTGGTGTTGAGTTGATGCACAACATTTGAAACATAGAGTGTTGTCTCAAGAACGAACGACGTTTGTCTAACCTCCACTTCCTAAAGGTTTCACATTCATTCAGTGAATGTTTAGACTTTTGTACTGGACATCGCGTAGAAACATCTGAAGTTAATTTCTGTCGCCCTGTATCACTAATATCCATGTCTGTCTGATTGTCCCTGGAAACATTAGTCTTGTGCACCGATACAGTCTTCCTGTGCCCTGCACTCCTTGTGTTGTGATAAGTTTCCTTCTTTGGTAAATTGTACGTAAGTCCAGGGTCATTACACATAGCTGCCATTTCCCTGATAAATTTCAGAAAGTGTTCAAATGGAGGGTATTGTGCACAGTTCTGCTGTTTATATCTGAAAGCTATGTTGGTCCATTTGTCTTGAAGCTTCCTGGGTAGCTTGGCTACAATAGGTGATATACCGACAGATGTGTTGAACTGGGCTAACAAATCAGCGAATATAGTGTTGTCCTTCAGGGACAAAGCTGATACAGTTCCTTTCCATCCTGACTGTCAAGAGTCTTGAAATTGTCTAATTTCTTCCTGATCGATGCCTCAACAAGGGAAGGAGCTCCATACCGTTAAGTCTACCCGCTACAGGGTCACTAGCATGACAAGCCTTAATGTTCCTCGCTTCGACACTTGAACTTGGTCCTATTAATATATAAAACTGTATATTCGTTTGTACAGAAATATTTCTTCTGAAACATTTTTAAACTTTATTTTGGGCTTATTGATCATTAAAGTTTAAATTACATACAAATTGATCATAATGGCACATTTGACCATAAAAATAAAATTCTCAAATATTGCTTTGTTTAAAAGGTTTATTTTGAAGAGGAACATTTGTGCACTACAGTGAAAGTAACTTAGTATGACTTCACGGATACTGAAATTTTACAGGTATTTATATATCAAAGTTATCTTGTATCCTCAGTTATATACATTTACTAGAATTAAGGGAAAAATTTTTCACCAAACAAAGATTTTAAACATAGAGGCTAATTCTGACCATAATCTAGAAACTTTGACCAATTAAAGTCACTGAAAATCAATTGACCAGTGGCACTCTGTGTGTGAAATATGAGCCAGAAGTGGCCAAGGAGAGAACATATGCTACAGACAAGAATTGTTCATATAAGTCTGCTATGACCTTGAACTTTGACCTAGAAACATGGTTCAAGGTCACTGCACACCAGTTACCCAGAGGCGTTCTAGGGGTGAAGTATAAGCCAGATTGAGCCAAGGAGAGAAAAGATATACTCCGGAAAAGGATTTTTTATACAAGTCTGCTATGACTTTGACCTTGAAACATGGTTCAAGGTCACTGCACATCGGTAACCCAGGGGGAGTCTTTGGGTAAAGTATGACCCAGATTGGGCAAAGGGGAGATAAAAGATATGCCCCAAACAAGGATTTTTCACAAAAGTCTGCTTTGACCTTGACCTAGAAACATCGTTCAAAGTCACTGTACACTGGTTATCTAGATGCACTCTTTGGGTGAAGTATGAGCCAGATTGGGCCAAGGAGAGAAAAGATATACTTCGGACAAGGATTTTTCACACAAGTCTGCTATGAGATTGACCTTTGACCTAGAAACATGGTTCAAGGTCACTGCACACTGATTACTCAGAGGCACTCTGTGGGTGAAGTATGAGCCAGATTGGGCAAAGGGGAGAGAAGATATGCTCCGGACAAGGATTTTTCATTTAAGTCTTCTATGACCTTTGACCGGTCACGGTAGCCTAGTGGTAGAGCGTTCGCTTCGTGATCGGGAGGCCCGGGTTCGATTCTCGATCGCGGCGCCGCGTCATACCTAAGACGTAAACAAAGGTAGTGACTGTTCCTTCGCCAAGCGCTCGGCACTAGAAGTGAAAGTCACGGGTCTTTCGGATATGACCTTATAAACGTAGGTCCCGTGTCACGGTAGGCGTTGGCACGATAAAGAACCCTCACTGCTCAATGGCCCTGAGTGCCGAGTATAGGTCTAAATTTTGAAGCCCTTCACCGGCATCGGTGACGTCTCCATATGAGTGAAAAATTCTCAAGAGGGACGTTAAACAATAACAATCAATCAATCAATCTATGACCTTTGACCTACAAACATGGTGTTAGGTCACTGCACACCTGTTACCAAAGGGCACTCTTTGGGTGAAATATGAGCCAGAT